TGAGTTGAGGGTTTATCGGTTTAGGGTTTAGGGGTTTAGGGTTTAGGGTTCAGGGTTTAGGGTTTAGGGGTTTAGGGTTTAGGGTTTAGGGTTTGGGGCGGTATCGTTTGGTTTTAGAGGTTTGGGGTTTAGGGCCAAGGGTACTCCTTGGTTCCAGAAGCGAATTGCGTTTGAAGAATCGAGATTACTTCAGGGCCCCGTACTGTGTTACGATGTTAAGCTTTGATTCATTAAACCCTAAACCCTAAACCCTAAACCCTAAACCCTAAACCCTAAACCCTAAACCCTAAACCCCAAACCCTAGTCTAAATAATCAGGCATGAGGCCCTACAGTTGGCTTTGCAGCGCAACCCAAAAGACCCTAAATCCTAGACCCTCAACCCTGAACCTTAGACCCTCAATCCTAAACCCTAAACCCTGAATCCTATATCCTAACTCCTGAACCCCCCCCAACCGACAAGTGGCCTGCTCTGCTTTTGGACTTCGGACCACCTGCAAACGAAATGCTGCAGGGCTTCGGGGCTTTAGGCTTTTTTTCAGGGCTTTCGGGGCTTCAGGGCTTTAAGGAACTTAAGTTAGCAGAATAGGGATCTATAGTAAACAACTTGATACAGTCCGTAACAACAAAAGCCCAGTTTAAGGTTCTAGGGTTACAGAGTTAGGGCTTATGGGGTTTGGCTAAGAGCTTTGAGTTTAGTGGCGGTGCGGTTGAGGGAGTTGCAAACCTGGACCCGAAGCCACTGAGCCCAAGACTAAGCTCCGCTGAATCGTGGCATCAAGCGACTTGAGATTTAGGATTTGGATTTATCGGGTTTAAGGTTTAGTGCTTGTAGGGTTTAGAGGTTTTAGGGCTTTAGGCTTTAGGGTTTAGGGTTTAGGGTTTAGGGTTTAGTGCTTGTAGGGTTTAGAGGTTTTAGGGCTTAAGAAGCTCTTGGGGGTCCCTTTGAGGGCTTAGGGTTTAGGGTTTAGGGTTTAGGGTTTGCTTCAAGGGATCCAAAGCTCTTGGGGGTCCCTTTAAGGGTTCTATAGGGGTACAATTATTGGGGGGCACTTTCCTAAATCATAGTGATAGTTCCTGATATAGAAGCCCGACATTCTCCTGTATAGGTACTTGGGAGTCGTTGGGAAGCCTAAGATGAGACCTCTAAGGATGGTATGTCTTTGAGCACCCCCCCCCAAAAAAAAAAAAACACACACACATGGGTGCCTCGTTTTCCGAGTAGAAGGGAGCCCCAAGATAAGAAAAATGCAACATTCGACTACTGGCGAACCTAGGAAAGAGTACCTCATGTCCTCATGCCCCAGATTCAGAGGTAACCAGAAACCCGAAAACAACATAAGCTCGAAACCGTGCTGCAAGTGCAGCTCCTTCCGGCTTCAGAGTCTAGAGCTCTAGGGTTTAGGGTGTATACGGAAAATTTGGGGCTTCCGGCTTCGAGCCTCACTCTGAGGGACAAAAGCTCCAAGCAAGCAACAGTAAAGAGCTTCGAACATCACGTATGTGTGTGTTGTCAAAAAAGAAAGTAACCAACCATAACCATTTCACATGTGACGAAATAGACAACTACACACTGATTCAGGAGACTTGTTTTTGTTCATGTAGTTTGGCTACTCTGGGTACGTCCGAGCCAGCCGGGGCCCCGCCGAGCCTTGCGCTGTGCGCTTTTGGAGGCCCTAGCCGCCCGGCTCGTCATCTTGGCACACATGATTGTTTAGACCGAGACATGTGGGAATTTTCTTAGAGACCCATTCTGGATACCCATAGGCCCCATAGTGGTTC